TGGGACATCTTTCTTTGGTCTCTTGGTGCAGTTTTTGTTTTTTTTTTTTCTCAGAGCCCGGGCCACCATGTGGAGCAGCATTGGGGGCGTTAATGAATGATGCATCATACCCAATATATAACCACCTCAATGATGGTCTGGTATTGAATAGATGCCACGCTTGCTCTTGGAATTCGGACAACTCCAACCACATGACAGCATTTATGACTCAACATCAAGGGCCAAAGCGGCCAAAAATTGGGTGCGGTTTCTGGTGTGTCCCGTTTTGCATGGAGCCCTTCTAGTGAGTTTCATTTGGTTCCTTATAACGCTTAGAATATTGAAATCGTGGTGCTTTTTTAGATGTTGTTTACTTTTTGTTCACTAGGTGCCTGATATAGATCCTTTTAGTTGAATGTATCCAATGATTTCAGTCTTTCGGTCGCCAGGAGACCTGCGCAGAAGCCATGGCCGACTGGGCCGAGAGCCAGTGCCTGCCGGTGCCTGCCGGGGGGGAGGTGTTTTCACGGGCGTTTGGAGGTCGATCATTGGTTTGTAGGGCACCAAAAGAGCTGTAAGGACCTGAAGTCTTTTAATGAAACAAGTCGGATCATGATTATACTAAGATGATGATTCAACCATATTCAAATTTTTTACATATTGTATTTGGGCACAAACTTTTGGAGAATGATACAGATTCCACTGATTCCACCATCGAAAGAAGCAACCAGGCAACAGCCAGTTTGAAGAACTCCACGTACCCGACGTCAGGTTGATCAACTCCAAGAACCCGACGTCGGGATGGTGATTGTGATTGGTTCTATGCATTTGGGCCCTTCCAGGAGTATGAAGCAGCGGGAGCCACGGATTTCTATACAATTTCCATCCAGTGCGAAACCCGCATCGCCTGATTGCCCCTCCCTCGATGCGCGTTGCTGGCGCGCCGCGCAACCTGGGTTTCGCAATCCGTGCAGCCCCGTGAGGCCTTAGTGCAGTGTAGGGCGCTCAGCGAAAGTCATGGGGGGACATCCTCAAAGCATGGAGGATGCGGGGACGGCAGTTCGGGTTCTTTGGTGGCTTGAGAAACCTGGAGGTGGTCAATCGCTAAGGCTGGGCGGCTATTAATGGCTCAAGATGGGAAGTCAGTGTTTGCAAGATGGGAGAAGACAAACTCGAAGATGATGTCCATTCTAACAGATTGGGATAATTCATGGGCCATTCAAGCTTTGTGGTGTTTGGCCAATCAAGAAGATACAGAAGCATAGCAGGATATGGGGACCATGACCCAGCCATATAGGCACAACGGTATACCACCTCCCTGGCCGAGGCTTGGCCTCCAGGGATGAGATCTTGCTTGAAAAGGCGACCGAGAAATCGGTGTTGCTGGCAGTGTGGTTGTTGGGTTCCGGAACATTTGGATTCTCCAGAGGATGCTCTTAAACTCTTCAGGAGCTTTTAAGCAGAACTGGAGGGTGGTCTCAGGTGCTCTAATCAGGAGTTTGAAGTGGATGGTGATCTCATGTGCTTGGTCGAACTCGGTGTCAAGGGAGTTGCTTTTGGTGTTGCATGCCTGGGCCAATGTTTCTCTCCGCAGGGGTCATCCAGCAGTCATCGTAGAACTCGCAACATTGCAGCGGTACAACCTCCTTGTTTTTCTGACAGCCTTGAGGAAGATCACGCATGGAAGTTTGGTGCTTGAACTGGTGTGGCTAAGGGGGCGCACAGTAGTCGCGGGACGAGACAAACCCAACATTTCTGTGGAAGCTTCCTTTTCCTTGCCCACGAACCCGTCTCCCACGCTTTCTCCTTTTCGTCATTTGTCATCCACTCCTTGTACAGCCGTGTCATTCTTCTCAAGGCCCGTGATCAACCGACTCTGAAAGTTGGATCTGGACTAGCGAGGTCCCAGCTACTTGCATTCAAGAATGGTCCCAAGTTGAGCATTTCACCTTGTGTTGCTGATCTGTTTTGCATACGCCCGTCAGGGGATCGTTCGGTTTCCTTGTTTTTGGCTTTTAAACCTCAGTTCAGTGCAAAAGAAGTTTGGTTCTCCGCTTGGGAGTCTACTCAAGGCTTTCCGTTGCAACGGCTGCGAGCTCTGAGCAGTAGGAAGCCGTTTAGATGTGCGTCAGGAAGTCTGTCGTGACTGTCCCTTCTGTCCACTAGGTGTTTGCAGCATCAGGATTGGTTGCACACATGGCTGCAGCTTCATATGTCCTCATTGTTCCTTTTTGCATTTGTTTGCACGGGCAAGAGGCATCTTCTTCCGAAGAGAGACAGTTCACAGTACCACCATGTGTTCCTTCCTCGCACCTGGCCATCCATCCTGGTATATAACCTTTGACCGAACCGTGAAGATTGACCATTTGGGTGACCCATCAATCCACCTCAAAGCTGGTGAATCTCATTGACATTAACAAGCATCTTGGATCCCAGGACCACCTCGGATCCTTCCAATGTGAATAGGAGACCACCTGGCCCTGGGGGTGCTGGCGGCCCTGGCGGGGGAGACGGATCTCTTGCCCAAGCCGAACCCGGCGGCGCGGGGCGGCTGGTCTGGGAGGTCTCTCCCCGAGCCAATTCGACCCATCGACCCCGAAAGGCCAGGAAGATGGCTCAATTCATTCAACGGCGGTTTTGGATGGTAGACTCATGCAGACCATCTTGGGTCGCTCGTTTGTGTTTGGTTGCTTTGCACGGATGCTCACGCCCCTCGCCAGGCCTCCCAGGCCCTCCTGGCAGTGGCCCAGACGCCCAACGGGCGCCGCGCACTCTGCCAGGCGGACCGTCGTCATTGGCAGACCATCCACGGGACTGGAATATACATACGTTTGCCCCATGTAAGAGCCTACTATTCCATTGCATGGAGGGTTTCTGGGGACTCGGTTGCAAAGTTCAGACCAAATGTTGGAAACACGCAGTGGTTTGGTGCTAGTTTTCCAACAAAGACCACAGATCTCGCAGCATCCTTCAGATGGTCGGTGGTTTGGGGCACCACCACATGGTGGCGGCCTATGAAAGTGGAAGTGCTTACTTCCACACAACTCCCCGGTGAACTGTAAACATTATATACCCTAAGAGTCCAGGACTATTTTAAAAATAGTCTTTGGGAAAGGACCATTGTTGGATATCTAAAGACTTTTGCAGGGTTTTCAGGCCCTGCGTGCAGCCATTGGATTTTCAAGTATATCACCAGGAATCTGATATCACATGATTTCATCGAAGAAATGGCCTCTAGATGGAACAAATCATATGTTTCGATTCGACATGCTATTTCGACGCGCAGGTCCGGTTCGGCGAAATACTGAGAGCCTCCCACCTTTGCGCAGCCCCTGATTTCAGGAGGAGAACCTCCAACAGCTGCTGGCACCATTGAGGCCGCGTGCGAAAGGTGCCTGCGACTTGAATTGTGATGATGGTGCTGCGACTCGTGCCTTTCTGGTGCCTTTCACACATGAACATCATTTTTGCACCATGTTGTACCCTGAACCCCAAACTCCAAAATCCATCAACTTTGGATGTCCTGGCCCAAGAGCGATCAAGTGTTTATTTCTGAACATGGCGAACATGGCTCGCAGCATCGGTATACTCTCGTGAAGGTCCGTTTTTCAGCCCAGGGTGAAGTGTTTTGCTCGGATCTGCCTCATGCCCCATGATACGTTTTGGCTTGTGGAGCGGTATGGAGTGGTCTTGGAGGCTTGCAAGTGGCCAATAAATAAGACATCCCGTACCCTTCAGGACCGAATCTGCTGACGCCCCCCAGGGGTAGTCATCATGTCGACATGCAACAGCAGTAGGGCTGGTCCAGGAGAAATGGGGCTTGAGGAAACGAAGAACACCGTAATTAATTACAGTAAAGAGTCTTTTTTGAAAAGGCATTACTACCATAAACGACCAACAGCGATGATTTCAGCGGAGTCTAGTGGAACCGGACCTGTCCAGTAGAACCGCCGTCATATTGATCGACTTCATCCAAACCTTAAGCCCTGTGATGCATCCGCGAAGCACAAAAAACTATGGTCAAAGCATGTCTAACCGCTTGGTCCGAATCCTTTATTTTCTGACCTTTACGTTCATTTTCTTTCTTACAAGAACCTTCCTGATCACCTTCCTTGTCATTCCATCCAACCCAGGTGGAAGATTCCTTTTTGTGAGCCGTTCATCTTCCGCTGAGAAAGAGCTAGAGTGTACTACAAAGAATATCACTTGGACCACAAGAGAGCCGTTTGGTTATTGAATGATGAGGACAGTGTATTACCAAGGACCCAGTGGGCCAAAATTCAACTGGTTTCTCATTTAAAGATACTGTTCACTGTTTCTTACAAAATGGCCTGGGTCGGCATCTTACATATAGCCGCAGCGACATTGGAAATAGTACCATTTGCCCCAAGTAGCAGAGAGGGTGGAATAAAGAGGTCCACCCAGGCCCAGTTTACTGTATATACCTCCCTTTCTAAAGGTCAGAACACGGACACGCAGTGAGAGAGGGTTTTGAGGTGGAAAAAGTGCTGCCTTAAGCCTACATAGTGGGTGCAACTGCCTGAAGCTTCCTGCTGCTGCAAAAGAAATACATTTAAGCTAAGTGCTCATTCAAGCAAAATGCGCGATCGTAACACTCCAAGAACGTGCATGAAACCCTTTGTAACTCATGTTGGGGTGGTTCGCCACGTTTCAAATGGTTTGCATTTTACCGCACCAAACGTGCATTTTGCTGGGTTCCACCTTTGGCCCAAGATCATTTCAGGTTTAAACATCTTACAAAATGTTCAACACACTTCAAATCCACCAAAAGCGCGCATGTTGTGTTTAAAAAAGATAAGTTACAGTAGTCACTAGTCCAAAAAGTGTTCAAACCCTACGTGCCCCTCAAAGAAAAGTGCTACAAATGATTCAGGTGTATAACCATAGTGGTATGCTACCAACTACAATTGTACAGTATAACAGTATACCGCGGTGCTTTCATTCAAAAGGTGGTTCAACCAGGTTCGACCCCATTTTGCCCTGCCTTCGGGTCGAACATGCTCCCCCCCTAGTATGCTCGATGGACTTGGGGTCGACGTTTAAACGTGTGGTCATCGAGGTCCAGCCACGTCAGTTTGTCCAGAAATGGCGAGAATACAGCACTCCTACACAGCAGCCTGACAAACACATGCTCTCATAGCAGCAGGTCAGAAGTCAGAGTGAAGAAATCACACGAAAAAAACGGGCGAGCCCGCACTGACAACATCTGAAAACAAGCAACCTGAGCACCTGCACCCCTTCTATCCCCTTCTTGGCTGTGATCCTGCAGGGTACCAGGTACCCGACAGATGCAGAAAGGGATGAGCACCTGCTGGCCTGCAGGCCTGCAGGTGGTTTGTACCCAAGAGCTCTTCCAGGACCGGTATACCAAGTGATTTCTCTGATGCTCAGGACCAGCGCACTTCGATTCACCCCATGTGACTCGTGTTTCACGCTGGTCTTCCTGAAATCTTCTTGCACAGATTCCTCGCGCCATCAGACAGAGCCCCATCAACGCGCCAAGTCAACCTACCCACTGAGTCTGGAACGATGACGTTAGCCGATCTTACGGCACCGCGGCGTTCACAGCGACCAGGACCACGACCGTCGTGACCTGCACGTCTACGCAACGGCAACGAGGGGAGCAACGGCAACGAGATACGGCCCTGCACACTGCTGCGCCCATGGCAACTCTGGAGCAGGAAAGGTATATTAGGAAGCGTAGGAAGGTAGGAATCCAGGATGCTGCTCGATCTGTACGAAGCCGACCATCCTTTCCATGCCGTGGGATGTATTAATAGATGGATCATGACAAGCTTGCCATAGCTTAGCTTGCCTTTCAGTTCCGACCACTTGTTCACTGAGGTGCAGAAGGGGCAGCTTGCGCCAGTCTGGCGAAGCGGCTGGCATTGTCTTTGATGCAGAGGCTAGCAGAGGAGCCAGCTGGCCGGCGGGCACTGAGGAGAGGAGGTGCTTGCGCTGCCATGCGTTGTCAGGGAAGAAGTGAGGCCATTAAGCCGAAGATGTATAGCGGATTGCGGGTAGATCGCTCAATCCAAAAGACATCTTGTGGGTTGTTCCATCTATTCAGTTACCCTGAAGCCAAACAAATCAAGTCGAAATTGTTCGAGCGGATGTTGTGTGCCAAATATATTTTGAGAATTTTTGAGATCAACGTGCCTGACAAGGCCTGTTTTTGCGGCATCGTTGTGCCGCTGATCGTATGGCATATAACCTCTCCCAAAGCATCCAAAAGATCCGGTCTGGTTCTTGTGGGAATACAGCAACACATTAAAACAACACAATGACTGATAAGCCTTACAACCTTTGAAGCCTCCAAGCAGATCCACGGCTATAACATGCTACATAAAACTGAACTGCCATCAACGTGGTGACCATGCTCAGTCTCGGCATGATTGACCCATTGAGGTGTTGTGACGTTGTTACGCCCTTGGTTGGAACCATCGCTGAGCACTGAAGAGGCGCTGGTCATCTGACACACATGTGCTGTGCCAGGGTGACGTATCACGCGTGCCTGGATGTGTTTTTTATTCTCAACACCAACACCTTGGGTTAAAGCATTGCTTCAACACCTGCGGTCATAGCAGTGAACACTGCAGAAACAAATGTAAACCGACAACCGACAGTGTTCGGCGTGCCCCCAGGCAAGTTAATCCATATTTTTATGTCAGTGGCATCAATCAGTCCGTCCATTGGTGGGAAAAGGCTTTACACCTATGTGATCCGAGAACATGTGTTTGGATGGTTTCGGGTGGTCCACAATTATATATAGGATCCAATGAACCCTTTGGGTGGGGCAAGGACATCCATGCAAACGTCGGGAGGACTTTGCTGGCAGGGCGCTCTACATGTTTATCCGGCATGTCTATACAAATATGAGTCGGCCTCATCACACTACAGAACCTGTAGAGAATTGGGTTGGGAGAGACATGTGGCCTCCCACTCGATCGCATGCAATTCTTTCAGTTTAGTTTGCTGCTGGGGTCCAACGGCAACAAGAACCCCTGGTTTGGTTTGGGTTCTGAAAGTAACTTTACTCAGAAGCCTAACCTATATAGCACTTGGGGAATCCTGAATATAACGTGGCATTCAGTGCGGTCCATTTTTTCTACTGGACGTGGCAATCAACTATCAATCTATTTTACGTTTTAGCCTCCTCAACATCCAGTTGCCTCAATAATACCGCAGAGATGACCTTTAAAATCCTTTTTGGTCATTTCAGGGACCGATGCCAATCCTTTCAGACCGCGGTGCGGAGGCGGCGCGCCTCGCTTGGAATTTGTGCGCGGAGGCAGTATCGAATCTGAAACTGAGAGTGAGGTGAAGAACTCACATATTAAAAGTCGCTGGGTCTTGTAGAAAGTCGTTTGGATGCTGCGTTTCCATGCGGTTTAGGTGCAAGATGGGTATATAATTGGAAGATAAGCTTTGGAGTATCAGTTTAACACCATTGCTCGGATGCTTGGTGTCCATGCAGGTTAGAGGAAAGATTACCAAAAAGTGATTTGAAGATAATCGACGTGGGTAGGTGGATACACCGGAGCAATGAATTCTTGATGTAAAGCAGTTTTGGCAAACATACTTCCATAGAATAGAGCATGTCCATGGTGTTTTAGCATAAAACTGGCGACGTTTCGCAAGCCGGGTGACTTTTGACTAATGCTGCGATTCCATGCGGCCGGGTGACTTTTTTGCAAACCCGGGTGACTAAACCCCGACGCTTGTAGCAACCCGTATATAGGTACTGACCAATTGCACGAGGAGAAGGTTCAGATTTGGTTCAGTATGTTTCGCCATGTTGGATGTATTGTCTAGTTAAGTTTTTATGTTAGTTTTAGGCGTAGGGAGTGCAAGTGCTTCTTTGGGTCTGTAGGTTGAATTTTGGTGTGGTAGTTTTCTATTTTGGCCACATACCTGACTAACTCGTCATGCCGACGATGGCAGGAGGGGTGTGCCCTGGAGCTTTGCCGCACAGGAGGTGCGCAAACAAAGCAGAGATGCCATTAGGGACCACCTGAACAAAGCAATCACCAACTTAGACTTGCCGTCCAACATGTGTTTTCCAAAAGGTTCCTTCTACAGGATTCTACAGGATCTTTTGGAGAAGTTTTGGGGACAGCGCTAGTTGAGAGACCAAGATAACCAACAATGAGTCTCGCAAGAAAGGAAGACGAGTTTCCTGATCTCCGATTTTCTCTATGACATGCAAATCCCCAGACTCACAGCAGTTAGTACTTTTAGAAGGGGACCCCCAACTAACGGGGTTTTGGCCTATTTTGATGCACACCCACATAGAACAATCAAGGGCCATTATGTTTCGTGGTCTGGTTTAAATGCACCGGGATCGCACAACGCACCTTTTTGGAACGATTCTCCAGTCGTTTCATGAACTCTCTTTGGTAAGGCTCGACCTATGTTGAGGGCGGCAAGTGTTGCTTGATAGGTATGCCTCATGTCTCTATATAGTATGTTTGGACTCCTTTCAACAGTCAACAACAGCAACAAAAAGAACAGCAAGGCATTGGAGAACTCCATATCAAATCAGAGTGCTGAGTGAGAGAAAGTGCTGAGTCTTGTGATGAACCGCCATGGATCCCAGATTGGAGCTGGTGCCGAATCTTTGGTTTCGATCTTGCCCAATTGACTTGCAATAATACTGTTCAAAGGGTAAACAATTGAGCATATATAGTTAAATATCTACTATATGTATTTGAGCAAAATACTTAATTGTGGATCCCATATTTAATATATAATCATCATATCATATATATAAGTGTATATAAATATATTATATTATAATCCTATACGAACAATCGTAAGCTCATTGGCTAACCAAGCCCATGTCTTTGCCGCCTATAGGGCATCTTTATGTCACCGCGAGAAACATCATGAAACACCAGGTGTGCGGGTGCTTCTGGCTGCGGCAGAATCGCAGTGCACTGCGGCCGTCGGCGCTCTACTGCTCCTGTCATCACAGGAGGCTGGGGATCTCCCATCGCCGGCTAAGGAGAGTGGTGGGACTCTGGTGGACTGGTTGGTTGAGGTTGAGGTCATGGACTTGGACTTTAGACTGATGAAAGGCCAAGAAAGAGATCACTGGTTGAGAAGAAGAAGACTTATAAATAGAACACCTGCATGGCGCTCCCGAACTGCTTTTGGTTCCTGAGCTCGCCGACGGGGCATGCGCCAACGGATGAGCGAAGAGCCATCGATCCAGGTGAACAGGTGATTTGTAGACCTGTTGAGTTCACTGTAGACCTGTAGATCTGGTCAAGTGTTGCCAGGTCCGTTTTGTTTTTTTCTTTTTCTGGACTTGTAGATGAATTTACGATCATGAGATAATGAGATACAGTATGTACAACTTGTATGTTTGGAGGCTCTCCTCCTTGGCTTTGCCAGGAAGCCATGCGGCAACTCTATGAGCAAGATGCAGTGCCTTGGCACAGTGAGCTTTGGCTTCTCAGCCTTTGCCAGTGGATGTGTGGTTGCCTTCAGATATGTTCAGATACTGGTACGCACAGGTATAGACATCTATTTCATAACGTATTACCTACTAAAATAAAGTTATACTGTCAATGTCCTAATTTGGTTCCAGCCACTGAATTGGTATAGTAATTATAGTCACATGTCCTTTGAGATTCGCTTGACCTGCAAAGTTTACACCATACATTTCACCTGCAAGGGACGCATTGATCATGTTTGCGCTTTTGCAGCGCATGCTTTGCAGGTGTTGAAGCTGCTGCCGCTTCTCGAAACCCGTGGCGAGCTCGCCATCTTGAGTGTCCGACATCCTAGCTTCTAAATTGGACTGCACCATTTTGGAAAACGCTGCGGTCTTTGAATGTATCGAAAGAGAACACATGAGAGACAAGGCACGTGACGAAGAGGGCACGCGCACATCCTGTGGTTTTTGCTGCATTTGAAGAGTGTTGCCTCACCTCGAAAGCCGTCCGGGGGAGAAACCCCCTACGAAAGCCATCGAACACCTGTTGTTTCTTTCCAGTTTTGTGGTCTAACTCTAGTCCCTCCCAGGAAAAACGCAATTGGTCAGTAAGTGTCACTGAAACCAAACTGAAACCAAGGCATGATGGTTGTCCGGGCCCATCCAGGATTCAGTTCCAGCGCAACTCATTTCAACTCACTCTCCTCGTGCCTCCGGTCTGAGGCGAAGCTGGTGACGCGCATGGCCCTCGAACTGGAGCAATTTCCGCAGGAGACCGGTCACACCGTCCGCGCCATCCGAGTCCGGCCAAAGAGCGGGGGGGGGGCGGAAGGCATTGATGCTTGGGGTGAGTGAAAGCCTTCCTTTTTGATCTTTTTTGATCCTATTAGTAGAATGAAGGGAACTTCTTCTGTTAGACTCTGTATTGTATATATATATATATATATATACATGATCGCAACTTGTCAATGTCTTCCAAAAGGAGATATCTTGAGGCCCCTTTTGCATCGGGCGCCGCGCTGCTCCGCGTGTGGAGGACGTGTGGCTCCCCGCCGCGGGCGCCCTGGGCGAGCACCTGAGAAGCGGATCCTGTGCCGGGCAGCTGGCGGAGGAGCTTGGTGCATGCTGCTGGGTCTTGTGTGGTGACCAGGTGCGAATGGAGAACTGGTGACCGAAGGTGCAGCTGGAATGAGCAGGGGAAAACTGTTGGGACTGAGAATCCACGTATGCGCGGACCTCCGCAGTGTTGCGTACCTTGGGGTGGTGTAGGGTGGAATGTCCACGCGAAATAGACCGCTGGGACACCATCCGCAGTGTTTTAACCTATCATAACGTATCCATGATCTCACCCATTGGTGGACTGTGTTGTACCCTATCTTCAATCCCCAAATTCCTGGAATCGTTGGAAACCACCCAGCATCACTGCCCAGAAACCAGCCTTCCACCGTCGCCTGACAGCTCTCTCGTACTCACCCCTGCGTTATGACAGGCACGCTGCGCAGTCTTCGTGGAGCACGATGGCCTGTGGGCACTTGCCAAGCTGCTTGCGGAAGAAGAGGCCTCGAGGATCGTGAAGTTCGGTCTGAAAACATTGTGGACTGAAACCAGTTGGGATCAACTGGAAAGTCAGTTTTGTGGAAGTTGTTGATATTTCGTGAAATCTATGGTTGACCGTTGACAGATGTTGATTGAAGCTTGCTAATCGCTTGCTATTTGGATGGACATGATGGATGTTGTGTGGATGTTGTATACTTCTTGCATCTTCATTGGGGGAATCATGGATATTGTAGGATATGGGCTGGAAGAAGGAAAATAGACTAAGCCCCATTGGTTGGGTGCCTCCCTATATATTGACTAAAATACACACCATTACACATCATATATTTTGATGCATTGCGTCTTGCTAGTTCAAGTGCAACACGCGACGGGAGATTTGTTCTACTGCCTCCGGGAAGAACCGCCGAAGGTCGGCAGAACCACAGATTGTATGCGGATCCCTATATCGATTGCTAAACTGTATACAGCACATTACAACATAAATATATTATTAATGCATATTAATGCGAGTCTTTCTTCTCACCTAGAGACATGTGCGATGATCACATGTGGTCTTGGTCTTTCGTTGTGACCGCGTCGGCGGATGTTCGTTCTTGGGTGGATGTGGATGTCGTCCTCGTCGCGAGGCGCTGGAACCCGCTGTGGGCTGCCTGCAGTTGCTGTGTCACGGACATCCCAAGCGGCAGGAGCGTTGCTGGGAGGCGTTCCATTTTCGTTGGGAAGGATGGACCCTAAAGTCTTAGACGCTTGATGAACGTTAGACGTTTGATATGTGTTGGATTGTGTTTGTAAGCGTTATGGTTTGTTTGGCAGAGGTTCCTGTGAATCATTATATCACCCACCCTTTGTGATCCAGGAGAGCGTCGTCTCATAGGCCTGCCAAATGAATGCTGGGGACGATTTTGCCCTGACCTGCTAACGGGAAGATAACATCAGCTGGAACGAGTTGTCCGTAGTATATGGTCGCCCAAGCATCCAGGTCGGTGAACTTACAACGAAGTCAACCATCACGCAATCAATGCAATAGTTTTAGAAGTGGTATGCCCCACATGTCATTCACACCTTGAACTCAACCGACACACACACACTAAAAAGAAACAGACTTTACATGGTTTGATGGCGGATGCTGGCGTTAGATGTCGTGAACTGGACGTTCCACGACGGGCTCCACCGCACCTTGTCAGGATGCCTTCCTGGAGGCAGGACGGACGATTCAGTCTCGAATCGGTCGGATTTTGCATCATCCGAGCTCAGCGGAGGGAGGTTCTGAGCTGTTTCTGAGCTTCGAAAGTGAGTCAACTGGTGGTGTTTTCTCCACACTTCCGTGACTCTTCTGGTGATCCATGATGGAGTCCATGACCTAGGGGCCCCTTGGGTGCTTTTCGTTCAAGACATGTCCATGCACCAGTCAAAAAAAGAGTTGTTCTGCGAGGTGCTGAGTGTTGAGACATGTGGTCAACATGGGTCATCATGAACCACTCAGCCTTGGATCCGAAAGAAACAAATAAAAACACACACACACACTAGGCTTTGGGGAAAGGCAACGCCATTTCAAGCGGTAAGTGATTCAGGTTTTTATGAATCTGGGTAAGTGACCCCACATTCATGAAAGAGGCCGGACGGCTTTTGTAAGTATGTGACTGAACATTTGTTGACACATTCTCATTTTGGTGATCCCAATCCATTGCTGGGTAAGAGTATAGTTTGGGTTTAGATCGGGTTGGATGATATTTCTTTTGTGCGAGGGGTTTCACACAAAAAACATGCGGCATGTTTCCGGTTCTCAGGCCGCTTCCGGCCTTTTTCCAGGCGGTGGCGGAGGTGCAACTGCCGCTTCCGCCACATGAGACCACATAAAAGGGTGTCGATGGGGGTCGTCATGAGAAGTCACCCACAATACTTTGGGCCCCACACGGCCGATGAAAACCGTGTGGACCTCCGCTCCCACCGCTCCGAGATTCTTCGCGTCGCGAGACTCTCGGCGCGGCGCGGCTCGTCGTCGCCTGCTCAGCTGGGTGGCTTGGAGCTGTTGGTGCCGGTCCTGGCACCCAAACAGCCGCTGCGAGTTCGACACCTAGCGGCCAAGGTCGCCACGGCAGTGCCAGTGCTGAGGGTTGGGATGACGAGAGTGACCGGGTGACCGGCCAAATCGGGGTTCGGGGTGTGAAATTGCGACGTGGTTCGATCCTTTTTCCTGGTTCCTTCAAAAAGCATGTGAGGACCATGTAAAAATTTTCTCTTACAATGTTCTGAAGATTGCTGCTGTGAGCACTCCTTTGCATGCAATTGCCCGAATCTGCAGGCGGTGTGCGCCCTATTGGAGGACGAAGAACTTCGGAGGAGGCGAAACACTTCCCGGAGCTCTCTTCTTCGGTTGCTGGTCCCCACGTTCTTCGCCGCCCAGTGAGTCGAGTCTTGGAGATGGGCATTCCAACAGAGGTTGAAGAACCCTATAGACTATCCCATATATAGGTATACCCAGTAAGGTCCTATAAGGTCACTTACCTCTATTGGTTCGATTCGAGGTAGGGGTGTCGATTCGAGGGAACTTGATGTTGCCCATGCCACGGAATTGCTTCAGTTTGGAACTTGAGCCAATGGGTCCAGGGGATTCCGTCGAATGAGTAGGGAGAGTGGACACTGCGGTCGGGTCGAGGAGCCTTTTCTTTGGTGTGTGTCGTATCCCAATGACCAAGGTGTAGAACCTGACTTACCAAGGCATTCGTTTACTAAGGCACCAGAATTGATCAGGAACCTGTTTTACCAAGGCACCTGACCTACCAAGGATGTCCAACAGCCTTCCAGTCAGTCCACTATGGTCAGGGTGTCAGCCCTTAGTACACTATGGTAAAGTCTCAAGGTTTTAATAGGGAGTTGCACCTTGCTCAGGGATCCTGATTTGCTTACTACTTGACTCACTCATGGGGTTCATGTTTCTGAGCCCTCCGGAGGGAGGGCCGTGTGTGTGTGTGTGTGTGTAAAAGCGGATGATCCGTAGAATTTTGCATGACCACGCCATCTCGATCTTTTGCATAGCAGGGGGCTAGCGGCCCATTTCTCAACGCTAGCCAACGAAGCTAGAGAAATGGGTGGATGAGTCTCTGGACGTACGGACTTGTACCTGCTTGAGAACGCACAGACTCCAATATTCCTTGTCAGGCTGTTTCAGGTATGACAGGTCAGCTGGTTCAATTGCTCTTCGCGAGCGATGCATGGATGTGTCGCTGATTTCAACAACATCCTGTAGGCTGTGGACTTAGGAGGTTCTCGCCCTTACCAAAATTCAAAAGGTCCTCCACATAACTCTTCCCAGTGTGTGTGTGTGTGTCAACCCCTGTTCCGAAGGGTGCTTCTCGGCTCATAAGCAGGGGGACAGAGCTCTTTGATGCTACTCTGTCCAACGAAGCTATGCATCAGAGAGGGAAGCATCCACTGGCCATGGATGTGTACCTGCTGAACGATTTCAAGCTGTGACTCCACTTTTCGCGTTTTGATTCATGGTCCTTCATGATTCGTTCCCCCAAACTCTTTTCCCTCCCCTTTGCAGCTGCTGAACGCCGCTTTCACTTGAGCGCTTTCGGAAACACTTTTTAAACAATACTGTTGTCGCCGACTCTTCCACCTTTCTGTTCCATCGCCGTCCTTCTCATCGTGGGAATTGAGTTAACAGCAAACCAATGTCAGAGTGTGAGCCGCTCAGCCGTCCCACTTGGATGCTGGGTGTGATCCCCTTCACTGGGGCGCTGAACTCACGCTGGAAATCATTTTCTCCGCTTTTATAACTGAATTCACTTTCTTCACTTGTATAACTGAATTAACTGTTTCTCGAGCCGCCGGGCTATAAACGACGGAATACCCTCACTCTTCTGTCACCTAAAACAGCCGCCGGGCTCAAAAACGGATTTGACAGCCGCCGGGCTTAAAAACGTAATTCACCCCACTTCAGGCAGGTCTCCCTACCCCCCCCCCCCCACCGTGTTCTACTCCCTACCTAATATTATAATTAGGGTAACGCAGGGAAATGGTACTCGACACACTTGTGTGTCGGTGCCTTTCCCTCTGTTGTCCCTTTTCTAGTCTACTCTACCCGGGCGGTTTAAGACTAAAGTCCCGCTCCCTATAATGCACTGTAATTCGTCTCGGCTAAGTAGTCAGTAATCCTGGAATCCTAGAGTGCTAAGTATTCAGACACACACACATGGACATACACCCCCTCCCTGCCCCCCCCTTTTCTTTCTTGCGCTTTCCGTCGTTTGTTGGGCTTTCTCTCAGGCTTTTTAGGTTGCTCTTGAGGCTCGTTTCCCTACCCCAGTCAAGGGCTAAGTATTCATTTTCTTTTTTCTACACCTATCGTTCTCTCTTGCCCTCTTAGCGCTGCTCTTTCTGTGTTTCTTTCTTTTGTTTCTAAGGCTTTTTCGGTACCTATTCAGGCTTTCCACGCGATCGCCGCCAAGCGGCACCGTGTGTGTGTCAACCCCTGTTCCGAAGGGTGCTTCTCGGCTTTCCATCTCATAAGCAGGGGGACAGAGCTCTCTGATGCTACTCTGTCCAACGAAGCTATGCATCAGAGAGGGAAGCATCCACTGGCCATGGATGTGTACCTGCTGAACGATTTCAAGCTGTGACTCCACTTTTCGCGTTTTGATTCATGGTCCTTCATGATACGTTCCCCCAAACTCTTTTCCCTCCCCTTTGCAGCTGCTGAACGCCGCTTTCACTTGAGCGCTTTCGGAAACACTTTTTAAACAATACTGTTGTCGCCGACTCTTTCGCCTTTCTGTTCCATCGCCGTCCTTCTCATCGTGGGAATTGAGTTAACAGCAAACCAATGTCAGAGTGTGGAACAATGTCACGTGCTGATCACCAGTTTGTATACCCGAGAACTCATTTTATCCGACCCTCCTTACCCTTCTTGCACCGTGTGGCCTTCACGCGCGCGTGGCTTTGGCCAGGCGCTTGTGCGATTTGGGGGCCACAAGCTCAGTGGGATAGCAATCATGAACCCTAGAAGTCTTCTTTGGAAGGTATATTTGATTATTTCATGTAAATATATATATATATATATACCTTGTGCCTCCAAACACGACAAAAACGTAGGGTTCATCCCAAAACACGAGGTTCTTGGAGGAAACACAAGGTTTCCCATTTTGGTGTCTTTTTCCGCCCATGCCATCTTCGAAGGCCGGGCCACAGGAACTTGAATTCAAACTTCAAAAGCCCAGGTTGATGATCAGAACGAAAAACATCTCAACCAAAAATGCAACTATTGTACCCCCTAAAGCCCGTGAAAAAAACACGGGTTGTCACGGTATAATCACGGGTTTGTCACGGGTTCGTCACGGGTTTGGGAAACACAATGTTTTTCTGAAAACCCGAGGTTTTTCATCCAAAATCATGGGTTGACACGGGATAATCACGGGTTTGTCACGGGTTATCGGAGCTCTCAATCACGGACCCGAACTTTTCCTGACAAGAGTGTTGAATGTTTTATAACCTTATTGTGAAACATGTTTTGACCACGGAAAATTTGATAAGTCGGCGGGAGAAAATGAATATGGAGCACCTGCACATGGCTATCGAGGGTTTTGGGGCAAAACACGAGGATTTGGTCAAAAACCCGAGGTTTTCCCTTATGTCACGGCTAAACCCGAGGTTTGTTTTCAAACCCGACAAATTTGTAGGGTTCAGATGCTCAGGGTATATAATATATGTTCCTTTTCTGTCACTTATTTTGATGCTGTGCTAGCAGCTATGTAGCCACGTTAGACATACTTGCCGTGCCAGAATGGTTCTACATCTCCGGGCCCGTTTTTGTTATCAATCTACCGTTTACAATTTGTAACTGTATGCGTGCCTGTATGGTTAAAAACACACACATCTATATATTATATGTGTACATGACTGATATGCTTCTTGAGCAGCGTCCTCTGCAATCAAGTCCTGTCCTTCCTCGTCCTTCCGAGCAGGTCTACGATGAGTGGGTGGCGATTCTCTCGACCCTGGGGACCTAAAGCGGCCCTTTCTGTGGGCGTTCTGCGGTCGTGGCCGACCAGTACCAGCCTGTGCCTGCTGGATCTGTTTCAGGTCGGAAACGCGACGAAAGGAAAATCATGCCAGAGGCTCCTGCCAGTTAGGCAGGCACACCCTGCGAGTTAAATTCCAGACACAACCAGCACCCTGTTGAACTTGGAATGCTTGGACCCATGTTGAACGAGTCTTGTCCAAATAGGTGAGTGGCAAGGAAGTAACGAAGCGAAGCACTAGTCTGGCAGCCTCGGAGTTTCACCCCAGCGCTGGCTGAAGGCGATGCCAGCCTCCTCCCTAGCCCCTGACCTGTGAGCTCTTCGTTTGGGAGCTCTGTGGAGGGTTCTGAAAGAAGCTTCGTGAAGAGAAAAGGGTTGATCTTGGGTTTGTAGAATGCCCACAATGATTGACAATGATCATCCGATGAGGTGTTGCAGGACCCCTTGAAAAGTAACGGCCTGGAGGCTGCTGCTCTCAGGCGCTTGTTTGCCAGAGATAGTGTTGAATTGACAAAGAGTTGAACATTTGTTTCCTTTTCGTGTGTGATGCTTGAACTTAGCAAACTCCCCGACGTGTCAGAATTTGCTTGTGAAAGACGTGTTCTTGTTATGTTTAGCTTGGATCATAGTTGCAATGCAAGCATACAACATGATTCAATAAACCGGCTCGGTTCCTGAGATATTTATATCTGGAGACGTACAGAACATAGTGACATAGGTTTTCATGGGGTTGAGGTCTAAAATTATCACAGATTAAAGCTCCCACTCCATAGATCCACGGGGTAGATCAACATTTGACATTATGAGTCAATACATCCTGGAAAGAATCACCAGGCATCAATATTCATCAGAAATCTGTAGCTTTCTTCGCCCCTGCACGACCCTGCAAGCTCCAGCAAATATAGCTGGTGAAAAAAAGATCACCAGCGACCTGTTGCTTCTAGTCTTTCGCTTTCTGGGGCTGAAATTACTCGACAGTCCATGAAGCAGGTGCGAAACTGCATGAAGCTGCCAGTACAGGGGCTGGCTTTCTCAGTGTGTTTAGAATGCCACAGTTCTCAGGATGTTCCTTTTGTTGAGGGAGGTGATTGAGACACTCATTGATGGATGTAAACTTCACAAAATGTTCTACCCGAAGGATCCACATACCGAACCTGAGGTACGGCGAGGAAGGATATATTTAAGTAGGCACCAGTTTCGGGCCCAGTCTTACCTTCAAGGTATGCGGATCCATCCAAGGCTCCTTTTCAAGTGGCTGGTGGCTCATATCGTGGGGCTTTCAGCTTGTCTTGTGCTTGTGAGTCTGGCGTTGCACCCTTGACCAAATAGATGATCCACCAGCTGACTTGTTCCTGGTTGCACAGAGCTTTGATGTATAACCTGGGTTGCACAGGGCTTAACCAACCATGCATGGCTTTGATACGGCCGCTCCTTTTCGCGGATCGCACGGCCGCGGATCGAATGGCCGTCCGATGTCCCCAGGAGCTCTCGACCATGGACATTGCCAACGAGTTGCCACTGGGATCGAGCGAAGAACAGAAACAGCGGAGAGAGGCTGAACACATCGACCATTCAATCAAAGGGCACGTGAAGAAGAATTGCCCCCAGAACGGGGAGAATCTGAGTAGATGTCTTCAGAATGAGGATGGTACCTGGCAGTTTGAGTGAACCAAAAGGAACCCAAAGAGCGGAACGTTGACAGATGGTGTAGTTACACAATTGAGTACCGGGTGTATCCTATTGGTCGGGCATGTCTTTCATGAAGATAGGGCCCTTATTATGTTTGTATTGCCTGAAAATCCAACATGGCGGCTGAACATGTACAATGCAGGCATCAAAGTGTTGTGAAACGTTCCTTTACAACGACGCATCGTAGTAATGATGTACCGCAATTTCCTCAAGCGTGGTCTCTTCCTAGCTCAATTGCAGAAGAAGTAAACAGGATGCTTGGTCCTCTTTGTCTTTTGTGCCAAGGCAGGCGTACCTGCATGCGCTTTGCAGCCTCATCCTTAGCTTCTGGATTGCCTAACTGCCAAGCTGCTGGCGGGCTTGGGGCTTGTAGGGTGAAGAGGTCAGTGGATAACCTTGGATAGCCTTTGTTTCTTTTCGTTCTTGGGGACACCCCACCCAAATCTAACAGGTGGAAAGTTCGGTTGACCTTGAAGGTTCCAGTGTTTTTTTAGGGAAACGACTGGAAGAAACAACAGTTGGTCCGTGGAGAATCAATTGTTGTCCCAGACGGTCATCGATGACTCGGTTGTGGAGTTTGTCACGACCTTTGTCATGACCTTTTCAAAACACCGCATGGATGGTCAACCGTGTTGACCATTGTTTGCGAGCAATCTGATCCAGTTGTTTCTGGTTTGGATGACTCCGAGAAGAACGATGTCCGAATGTGTATTCTTATATCTAGTCTATAGATATATGGATAGATATATGGTTATAATATTATGTCACAGAAAAAGAAGGGAGAAGAAACCTTCCAAAGTCTACATCTCTATGGGCTTTGACTTCGCATCCGATCCACGGTCGCCTTCGCAGGGGACTTGGTCTCCTTGGCCTTCCGTTGCCGTGGCCTGGAGGACACCGCTTGGGCCGAGGCGAGGCTGCGACCGGAAGAGTTCCACAGTTTTCGGGCCCATAGGGATGCCAACTGCCATCGTCCAAGGGGTTTGGGACGAAAAGCCCTGCCATCTTCCTGGCCTTTGATGTTTTTGGATTCTACAGAATTAGGCCCTGGCCCTCAACATGGCGAGCATCCTTTTGATGAATCTGTTGGTTTCCCCTTTTGACTTCACTTCTTTCACCCACAGAACCACTTGATTCGAAGATTTCACCGAGATGTGCCAAGTACCATCTACCAAGCCTCCCACGGTTCCTAGCATAGTAATAGTAGTAATATATGGGTGTGTATT